CCTTCCCAGATATAGGTGTATAATTGATCTCTAAAGATTGTTGAGTTCTCTTTGACGATTTAGCAATAGTGTCGTTTTGTATAGATCTATCAAAGTGGTTGCTCGTTGCAAGAGTTTTGTGTGAAGTTGGGAGACCACTTATCAAAGAATTTTGAAAAGTGTTTATACAAATATTAGATATTGCACCACTATTTATTACACAATTAAATCAAATCTATCAAGCATACTTTCTAATCAATTTACTTGTCCTTTGAAACTCATGTTTAATGAAGTTTTTAGATCTATTAATCCCATTCTTTAGAGGACAGGTGAGCTAATATAGCTTTGATGACCTCACTTTGTTCTTTAATTACATGATCTTGATCTTTGAGCTTCTGATCTTAGTCTTGAAGCTTCTGACCTTGTTCTTTAATTACAAGATTTTGATCTTGGACCATCTTTTGCAAACCCCCAACTTTTTCAGCATTCTCTCATTTTTCATCATCCAACTGCCTTTGTAGAATGGTATCTCTTGACGACCCCTCTTACACGCCCAGAATTCTCTTTGCCAAACGTAAGTGTAAGAGCATTTGCCCCGTGATCAAGCTTTAGGGATCCATCATGAATTTCCTTTTCATAAGTGACTTATCGCAACATATATCAATGATATGTCGGTAGAAAGAGGAATGCATTCCAATAAAGTATGGATTCTTACAATTTCATTTGCCTTGTCTTTGAGATTACGTATTTCAATTTTAGGTAACAAATTATATATTTCAGTTTTAGGTCGATTCAGGTTTTTAAAGAGGAAGCGATTGACATAGATTGAAGTTAAACATTCATTCAATTAACAAGCAATTAACACAGATCGAAGTTAACATTCATTCAATTAGCAAGCGATTAACACAAATTGAAGTTAAACATTCATTCGATTAGCACAAAATTGAACAACATACCTTTCAGTGAATCAGGRTGCACAACGACGAGAAGTTGGACGATGAACTCTGAACTCCGTAGCGAGAATGTACAACAACGAGAAGATTTGGACTCTGAACTAGACGAGAAGATTATGACGAGAGCCGTGAATGGGGCGATTTGGAATTAAGGTTTAAGATACCGTATTATGTTTCCCAATATTCAAAATCTAAAATTAATAACTAYACATTTTATCATCTAAATTTAATTTAATTTATTAAACATATCAAAGGAAAGYTCACTCTATAGCCTCGAGACTTCTCGAAACTRTTGCTTTTCTAGAATTTTTAATTATTCACCATCTTCAGCTTCGAAGTGAATGTTTGAAAAAATTGCTGACTCTTATCAAGAAAACATTAAACGGAGTGGCAACCTTTCAGTGCTTCTGTAAGCATGATAAAGATTTGAACTTCTTGTCCTCTACTGTACACTCTTTCTGCAATGTTCTCTCATTGTCTTTCTCATTTATACTAATATTTCTAAACAAATTATCACTGATCACCAATTCTACGTAACTCGCTTCCTCGTTCCAAGTGATCGTTTCAACAATAAATTGGGACAATTAAAGCCTTTTAGTCAAGCCAAAAGTTGTCTTCAATGGTTTATTTCTATTCCGACAATGAACCATCTTTAATTGAAGTGAGTAATCTAATCGGAGTGAAATGAGGTGGAAGTTTTTTTCTAGTGAAACTACATAGATTGCTAAATTAACTAATTCATTGGAAAATATAGAATCTATTAAATCAATTCGTTGTTATGCAAATATATAGTTATTTCAACCTGAAAAATTTGTAATTAAAATCATTTCATGAGTTCTTTACTCAAAATGTTCAAACATATTTCCAAAATTATAGTCTTCCCGAACTTGAAATTAACATTGGGACATCTAATTCAATTTGAAGAAAACGTAGCTACTCATAGTTCAAGAGAACATTGATGACTCTCGCTTTGTCAATATATATTCATTACCCCTCAAAACCGGGTCGTAACGGAACATTAACACTTGAAAAATAATTCTTCCATAATGTCAGAGCGGTACTAATAAACAAACTTGACAACTTAAACATAAATCAAAACACTTCCTCACGTACGTTTCTWACTGAGATCTTTCATTTTGAGTTATTGTAATTTGAAATCGTTTGATTAAGCATCCTTTCGAAGACGACTTGTTCAARATCATAGATGGATCACTACCCGAAGTTCAAGACAACGTTGATGATTCTCGCTAAAAAGAAAGAAAATTTTGTTGTATTATTTATTTTGTGGTTGTTGGATATAATATAAAATGTAATTTTTTTTTTTGATTTTAAAAAATCTATGACATTTATTTTAAGAAAAAATTGAATACGAATTTGTTGCCTTTTCTTGATGAGTCCAATAATAAGCCTATTGGACCGTGATCCAATGGATTAAATGGTATCAAATGATGAAATTAGGGTTGATTACGTCGACGTGATAAAATCTATGCTATATATACTCGCTTTCGGTATTCTACATTTCACTTCCTCATCGAATTCTGGGCWGCCGCCATGGATGAAGACATGAATCCTTATCATCCAAGAAACGCTTCTCACTCATATCACTCATTCACTGTAAGCGATTTTTATTCATTCTAGTTCTTTTGTTATGGATTTCGTTAGGATATATAATCATCTTCTTGGAATTACATTCTTCCTTTTTTCAATCGATTTTATTTGCAAAGGGCTTACGCTCTCTTTAATATAATTTTCTTTCGCACAAAGTTAAGCTAGATTTTTACAGCTACTGGAAACAATTTCTACCATTCTTTGAATCGATTTTAGATTGAAAATGATTTATACCCGATCTAATCACATTTCCTTTTCAACATCATTGGCATATTTCATTTCTGGATCGATTTGAAATTGTGTTCTTTAGATTCAAACACCAAAATGTTGTGTTGAAATTTTTGCTGCTCTAGTTTTCTAAAATGTGATCTAGCTAAACGAGAAAAGGAAATCTGGTTTAGATTTGCAAATACAAAAATCTATAGCTAAAATTGTTCAACATGAGTTGTTCTTGTGAATCCATGCACATAGTTTCAAGTGTTTTTTTATGTCTTCTTGTTCAAACTTGTTCAGACATGTACTTTTTTTGCTGCAGTTTAATACCTGTGGTGAGGTAAACAAGAATGGATTCTGTTWCAACGTCAGTGTTCATAACATTTCGCAAGGTTCTATACTTGACAATTCATGTTGCTTCTGCAMCTCATATACTTCAAGATGTTGGCGCCATTCCGTGTCACAGTTGGAATAGGTCAGATCTTTTCTGGATGATCCCTACATCCTATCAAGACATTATAATTGTTTTTGATTAAAAACTAGTTACAATCATAYAAGTTTTAATGTCTTAGATATAATATAGGGATGCTACAAAAACAAAAATGATTAACGATTGCCTTCATCTGTTTTATGTAGACTGCATAGTAATTACACCAAAAACGAAAATGTGYGAGGTGTCAGATAACGGHGATGGTGGACCTGCTTTTACTGTTAGAAGGTGCAGTTGCTCGACATGCCCTACTCCATGTGGTTCAAGTGYTCTGTGTAGGGCAGACCAGGAACCCTCTGATTACTTGAAATATAAACATCATGTTTTCATTGATTCTACACTGATTTGGATCATGATGAGTGTAACAATGTTCTGAAGATGCTTCCCGATATCTTTCCTCCTACTCAAATGGATCTTGGCAACAGTTCTKATGAATGTCCTGCTATGGGGACTTAAAGCGTGCTTCACCACWAAGCAATAGATAATGGTTTCTGGAGATCTTATTGGCCATCGAGCTTTTAGTTCAAGATTATTCACCATCTTCAAAAAAGAGTGGCTCTTTAGTGCTTCTGTAAGCATGCTAAAGATTCAAACTTTTTGTCCTCTATGCAGTTTACTGTCCGAGTGGCAGATGTCAGGTTGCGTCTTCGGGMACATTTGGTTCACAWCACCATGTCAAGGGTCCATCTTTCATTCAAGGTTACAAGGACTCTCATGAAWTTTCRGAATCATTGAWGAAATATTTTGAGAKGTTTCGACTAGACATTGGGTTTGTGCAAKAAATTATAGAACAACTCTTGCATGTGTAGAGCCTGTTCAGGATGTATTATATGCAAAGACCTCCTAACTGATTCATCCTTAACAACTGTAAATAAAAAGATCAAGATTAAGGAAGATGCCATAYGGAGCAAAAGGGAGAGCATARTAGTTACACAATCAATGAGGGTAAGGTACATATTGTACTTACTAGTTGTAGAAAATGTTTAATTGTTCTAATAGATTGTTTTATATGTTGGACATGTTTATAGTTCTAACCATCGTGTGCTCTTTGTAAATATTTTGCGATAAGTTTATACCAAGTTTTTGGATGTCTTCGCAATTGTTTTAGCTATTATACTTTTATATGACTGAAGGGTGTCGAGTTCGGAAAATAATAAAGTCTATAAAATAAGCCTATTACCTCTAAAACAAAACTTGTGATAGTGATAATTAGGGTCGTCTCTTCAAGGACTCGGTGTTAACCATAAGTCCAAACGTAGTTACGTGCATATCCAATATAAATAACATATATAAAGGGGGAGTGTTGGATGATTGATAAATACTAAATAGTCTAAATATGCACAATAAATTGAGAACTTTAAACAATAATAAAAAAAKCCCTGGTAGTAAGCAAACACACTTTTCATTGGACGATATATCAGACTTGTACTGAAGTTCATTTTCATGTCAATTCAGAATAGCTTAAACGTTGATACACATCAATGCTCTGTTCGCCATTAAAAAAAAATCAACTAGCACGAGTAGCTCAAAAACTAGTCCCTACCCAAATAGTCGRAACAGTCACAGACTTGGTATCAACCGATAAATGCATTAAGATTTAGCAAACACCATTCCTAGCTAATATTTAGATGCCAAATACTAAGACTAGAATATGCAAACTTGTAATGTTAAACAATTAACCAAACATATCAATCGGAACATTACTTGCTACAATAACGAAACGAGAAACAATTACGGATTCCCCGTTTCGTTTAGCAAATCAAAATCAGATTATACAAAATAGGGGATCCTTCGTAAATCAGAAACCAACTAAGATTCAACTTTACAGTCAAAGTTTGCATATATGAAATGATATTGAAATAGAAATCAAGTCTCAAACACCATCCAATTGAAGTGTTTACTTGCTCACTACTAGAATAAAGGATTTAGTTACTCTCATGCTTAGAACTAAAAACTTACAAAAGGATTGAAATGTAAGAATTGGTGAAGAGTCTTCAAAATCGCTTCCCAATATCTAGAAATAGGCTTCCTGTTTCTTCCCAATTCCAGTTCTGATCAAGCTCCTTTCGATCGACAGTTTCTGCCTCGATCCCCCTTCGATTTCTGTCCCTGATCAATCCTTTTGAAAATCTTGATTAGTCCTCTAATCCTCGTCTCCATTTCTGGCCTGCTCGAAACTGCTTCTCTTGAATTCCAGTTTCTGCTGCCTCTCCTCTCAACCGACAGGTTCTGGTCTGCTCGATCGACTGACCTCTCTGTTTTTTTCATCTCAATTGTTCCCCTTTCTCTCTCTAACTGACCAGTTCTGTTTTGATCGATAGTTTCAGTCTCCGTCTGTTTCTCTGTTTTGGTCGAGTTCTGCCCCTCCCAATCTGCCTCTCTCGATCGGTTTTTCAACTTCAGTTTTCTGCTCGAAGGAAACTGCCTCCGGTTCTGTCCTGGTCTCCTTCCCCTTCTCCTCACGTCTCKCTCTATCAACAGTTTCAATCGACCGCAGAAAAACCGGTTCAGGAAGAYGTGGCTGCTGTATCTGGGCTGCAGCTGCTGTTGAGCTGTTGAATGCTGTTTCTTCACGGGCTGCTGGTTCTTTGCATTCATGGGCTGCTGGCTTTTTCATCTTTTTTTTCCTTTCTTTCTTGCTGCCAAAAAGAATTCTCTCTTTTTTTTTCTTCTCATCTTAATTGGTTAGATACAAACAATTACCATCTCAACTTAAATTAGCCATTTATAACATCCGATTGATAATAACTGTTAGGTAATTCGGACATTAAAATGTATAAAATATCACTTTATCAATGACATTGTTTAAAAGATGTAAAATCATAAGCAGCTATGTTCATTTACACAAGAGAAATGAACACAACTTATGGAAGTCTGAATTAATATTGGCACACAATTCAGTTCAAAGAAAACCCAATTGAAGTTTAAAACAGCATTTATGACTCTCGTTTCATCATATATGTTAAAGGATATATAGACAGAAGGGGGACGGTTTATTGGATCATCACTGTTGATTTTTATTTTAATCGTGTGGTTCAGGGAGGAAATACATTAATCTCTTGAAGGAAGTTTGTTCAATAAATTTCTAGTTTGTTTCAGAGATGGATGGCTATTTGAACAAGAATCTATCAAACTTAATAATGACTTTCAAATATTATTTTGCTCAGGAAAGGCCTAATAATTGATTTTAAATATTTTTTGTGTCGAAGAGGATGAATGATTCTCTTCAAAGTTGGTATGCTTCCAAATTAAGAGCAACAATATTGTTATAATATGCTACTTGGATCATCCATGATCTAACTTTAATTTAAATGAGAGTGTTCAAATTGGAGGTAAATGAGGTGGAGTATATTTTGAAAAATCAATTCATCAGAAAACACAATCTATTATATCACTTAATTTGCTATTATGCAAATACATAGTAATTACAACCGCAATTAATACTTGAAGTCAAACATTAGCAGAACTTGAAATTAACCTTGTGACATAATTCACTTCTTATTCAATTTGAAAAAACGGGGCTACGTTACGTGATCCAGGACGATCTTGTGTTCGAACAGTTGCAAACAAAACCCACATCCACCAAAATAAAAGAAAAGGAGGAAAAAGCTCGTTATATATGTGAGCCTCTAAACGTTAGTAATTACCATTTGTAACTTGTGTTGTTGTGAGTGTGGATGTAGTATTAGAGAGACATAAAAAAAAATCTATGACATTTATTTATAAAATAAATAAATAGGAATTTGTTGCCACTTCTTGATTAGTCCAATAAGAAGCCTGTTGGACCGTGATCCAATGGATCAAATGGTATCCAATCACGAAATTAGGGTTGATTTCACGGAGGGAGGCTGACAAAATGTATGCTATATATAACTCGCTTCTGGTCTTCTACATTCCACGTTCAAATCAAATTCTTCCCTGCCACCATGGATGAAGTCGTGGACCCTTATCATCCGACAGACACTTCTCGCTCACATCCCTCATCCACTGTAAGCGATTTTTATTTAATCTGCTTCTTTTGTTCTGGATTTCATTAGGATATATACTGATCGTCAGCAAATTACTTTCTTCCATCTTTTCAATCGATTTGATTTACAAAGGGTGTATGCGTGCAAATTTTAGCAAGATTTTTGCATCGACAAGGATAATGATGATCAATCATAAAATAGATGCTTGAAAACTAGCCCAAAATTTCTTCTGTGAACTRCTATAAGATGAATTCTCGAACAAAATCAATTGGTCCAAAGAACACTTGATTTCTTACATCCCGAACAGATTAATTGTTTATGCAGTGGTTTTAATGAAAGCAGTTTTGATAATATTATATAATGGAACGTATTGGCATATTGGGCAATGCCCTAAATGTTAAATAACAGCTGGTCTTTATATGAACATCGTATCAGGCTACTATACTTGCTAAAACCAAAGTCCGTTCTTAATCTGTTGCTAACAGTAAATAGCAATGGATTTTGTTTGTTTATAGGTCGTAGCTCTCATTCAGTTTTCTAGTAGCTGCTGGAAACAATCTTCGTTCAAAGTTATCGAACAATTTGAGGCGGGTTTTGGAAGCCAAACTGAGCTAACTTCTTCTAGCAAATGCGAAATGTACATTTTATCAACCATCTTTAATGTTACCTTAGGATAGTCTAAAGAACTTCTAGTTAAGGCACATGTAGACTTGGAAAGTACTATGTAACAGTTTCTACTATGTAGGGACCATCACGACGCAAACTAATATGGACAACTCGACTCTTAGACGAAGTTCAATTTCATTTCTTTCCTTTATTCGATTATATGATATTCCTTGATTTGTTATAGTAATTACACTTTGTTTAAACTTGTTCGGACATGTACATTTTTTGTTGCAGTTCAACGTTTCTAGAGAGGTCATCAAGACTGGATGTGTTACAACGTCAATGTTCATAGCATTTCGCAAGGTTCTACACTTTACACTTCATATTGCTTTTGCACCTCACATAATTGTTTGTACTATTAGGAACAATTTCGCAAGGCTATACTATTTTCTTTCCCACAATTTTTAGCGAGATTTTTACATCTATTGGAAATAATTTTCTATCTTTTAGGAAGTAAGAGGTTTTATTTTGATGTTAGTGACAAAAGAATACCAAAATCTTTGTTGCTGGATCTGCAATCCAAATGACAAAAAGATCTCATTTTAGGCTTATAAATAATTTAATCTTTGCTGTTTGCATTTGGTTTTCTTCCATTCTTTGAATCAATTTAGATTGAAAATGATATATATCCAGATCTAATCACATCTCCTTTTCAAAACCATTGGCAGATTTCATTTCTGTATCTATTTGAAATTATTTTATTTAGATTCAAACACAAAATCTTATGTTTAAACTTCTTGTCCTCTATGCAGTTTATCCGGGATGAGAAACAGAGGTCATGTTGCCTCTTTGGGCAAATTTGGTTCARAACACCACGTCAAAGGTCCATTTATCATTCAAGGTGACAAGGAGCCTCATGCATTTTAAGAATCACTAATGAAATGCTTGAGAGACTAAAGGTTTGTTCAAAAATTGTAGAACAGCTTCCTGGTGCAGGATCCAGTTCGGGATATATATATATATATATATATGGGTGGAGGTTCAAACGAGAACACCTCTATTTTACGAGAACGCGAGAACACACCTTTATCACATGTGATAATACGTGTGAGATGACTCTGTGATGTGCGGACGACGTGTTCTACCACTTAGTTCGCGTCAAAGGTTGTCTATGTCTATGATTTAGCATCACATGTGATTAAGATAAAGGAGGGGATAGAGGGTGTGAAGGCTACCAAGGGAGATGCCATATCAAGCAAAATTAAAGGGAGAGCATAGTGGTGACACAATCAATGAGGGTAAGGTACCATATTGTACTTACTAGCTGTAGAACAACGAAATTGGCTTGTAAGATGCCAAAAATAGTTAATTGTTCTAATAGACTGTTCTATATGTTGTACATATGTGTATAGGGCCAAACTATCGTGTGTTCTTTGTAAATGTGTTGCAATAAGTTTATACCAAGTTTTTGGACGTCTTGGCAAGTGTTTTAGCCATTACATTTTTATATGACATTATTTAAAAGATGTCAAATAATAAGTAGCTATTTTCATTTACACAAGAGAAATGTACTCCACTTATAAGGGTCTTAACATTGACATCTATATACAAAACATTTACACAGGAGAAATGAACACAACGAATAATCATATTACGGGTCTGTTTTGCTAGATCAAGAAGCAGATTTATTTTTGGACCTCTTGTATACGCTCGTTTTACAATGTCTTCTCATTGTCTTTCTCAATTATACTAATATTTCTAAATAAAATACCACTGGTCGTCAATTTTACGTAACTTGCTTCCTGGTTCCAAGTGATCATTGTGCTAATAAATTGGGACTATTATAACCCTTTATCCACGCCAAAAGTTGGCTTCAATTGTTTATTTCTATTTATATCTTGAACTATCTTTAATTGAAAGTGTGAGTATTCGAACCGGAGTGAAATGAGGTGGAAGTTTTTTCCTAGTTAAACTACATAGATTGCTAAATTAACCAATTCATTGGAAAATATAGAATCTATTAAATCAATTTGCAATTATAAAAATACATAGTAATTACAACCTGAATTAGTAATTAAAATCAATTCATAAGTTCTTTACTCAAAACGTTCAAACATTTTTCCCAAAATAGAGTCTTTCAGAATTTGAAATTAACGTTAGGACATAATCCACATCTAATTCAATATGAAGAAAATGTAGCTACTCGGAGTTCAAGAAAACGTTGATGACTCACCTCAATTATTGTAGATTTGCCCTGTACTTGGTAGCTTCGTATCCTATATGAAATCATGATGTTTCTCTAAGTATACACGTTGTAATAAACAATTTGCTCAATTATCGAACCCTCAAACAAGTTCTTAAAAYTCGATCTATTACTCTTTAAATTGCTTTAGTCACTAGACCTCTTCATCCTTCATCTCGGTTTTACCACCATGCAAGCATACATACACACACACATATACATAGGGAGGATCATGCGAAAATTAAACTAATTTGTCAGAAAGCGAGAAGGAATATGTGTCACACACCTTAATTAATATTTAGACTAAACCCAAAACAATAGTACTCTGTGTTGGCTCGTAGGTAGCCGATGGAATACGATGGACTTGAAATGACATGTTACATCAACCAAATTTGAACAATGTGTTTGGTTCACTTTTTGAATTTTAGTATGAAATTTCTATTTCAACATATGACATAATTTAAATTCCTTGGGTGTTGGTAAAAAATTACAACTCATATTCATCCCATTTTAAAGAGATTGTTTTTCCCTTATACTTGATCGGATCCATTTCATCCCAGTATGACAATTGTCACCACTTCCGACCGCCATTGTTTCTGCCACCACCACCAACACCAACACCACCACCACAACCATTACCTCTTTCGTCTCCACCACAATCGATCACTACCATCACCATTGTCGCCACCACTACCACCATCATCACTACTATTGCCTCTAAAAACACAATTATCGCCCTACCACCATCATCGTTGCCGCCCACTACCACCACAATTATTGTCACATYGGCCCACTATCGCCAACATCACCGCCCCACCACTTAAGCTTTCAAGAACACTGTTTTTGAATTCAGTGTCGTTGTCACTTCGAATTGATCTGACAAGTTGATCATTCAAGACTTCAGTTCGCTTCACAAAGTTGATAATTTCTTCAGTTGCATCGCTCTTGTGTTGAAGAAAGAAGACCCAACTATATCTTGAGTACTCATCCACAATAACAAGAGTATATCGTTTTCCACCAAAACTTTGAACGCTCACAGGACCACAAAGATCCATGTGAAGCATATGCAAAGGAGCATAAATAGAAGAACACATCTTAGACTTGAAACTTGTTTTGGTTTGCTTGCCTTTTTCACAAGCAGCACACAGCTTCACTTTGACATATGACATCTTTGGAAGTCCAATAACCAGATCTTTACTAGAAAGATTGTTGATGGTTTTGAAGTTGAGATGGGACAACCTTTTATGCCATAGCCAATTTTGATCAACAGTAGCTTCGGAGTATAAACAGATGTTGGCGTCGGAAAAGCTAGAAGATTCCATGTTAATCACATAGACATTATCCTTTCGGATACTAGTTATTACCTTCTTGCTATGAATGGTACACTGGTTTTTTTCAAATTTTACAATGAAGTTGAGATCACATAGTTGACTGATGCTTAACAGATTGTGCTTCAGTCCATCCACATAAGCTACTCGGTTGAAGGTAACAGAGCCATTAGAAAGAACACCATATCCTTTAGTAATACCTCTGGCATTATCTCCAAAGGTTACAGAAGGACTAGGTTCAGACACATAGTTGATCAACACACATAGTTGATCAACAGGGACTTGTTTCCAGTCATGTGTCTTGAACATCCACTTTCCAAGTACCATATTTGTCGGTGTCCTAAGCCCTACAAACACAGATAAATCAATTTTTAGGTACCCATTTTACAATGGGTCCATTAGCGTTAGGAGTATTTTCTTCTTTCTCTTCTCTTACTGGCTTAGAGATTCTTTCTTTGGGACAGTTCTTGGCCATATGAAAAGTGTCACCACAATTATAACATTTTCGATAAATAAACACAGGTTTAATAGAAATTAAAGATGTGTTTAACTGTGTTGACATGCTTTTTGGATTTTTTGAGAGAGGAAGAAGCTTTGGAAGGAGGGACAGAGGATGAAGAGGGTTTTGGACCAAGAATCCATTTTTTAGACTCAAGGATAGGTGTCTTAGAAGAGGTAGAAACCTTGGAAGCCTTTTTCAAAGATACTGGTCTAGGAACGAACTCAGTAATAGAAGGTAATGAGGTACCTGACTGAGATGAGGTAGCCGAAGGCTTATGTTTCATCTTCAGTTTGGATTTTGGCTTCTTATTCTTGATAGGCTTGTCCCCAGACTTGCCTTTCTCAGCAGCAGAGAAACGATGATTCAAATGATGCTTCAGATGCTCAAATGTTTTAGATTTAGATGAGCATGAATCAGGAGATTCCTTAAGAGAGAAAGAGAGAGAGAGAGAGAGAGAGAGAGAGAGAGAGAGAGTTAAACACACAGTCGACAGGAACATTCTCAGATTCAAAGTTTGGACTTTTAGCTTTGACAAAAATTCTGAACTTAAGAGATTTTCCATTTTCATTAGATATAGGAGAAAGAGATCCAACAAAATCAGATAAGTGAAATGAAGAGGAGGAAGAGTGAATGTGAGAAGAAATGCACATAGAGTCATCAGGAGCATACAGATCCAGATCATCATAACCTAGGCCAGTCTTTCCTTCACTAGGAAGTTGATCATGTAAAATTTTATCTAGGTTCTTGGATGATCTAGCCCATTTTTGAAGAATGGCTTTTTCTTTCTCTAGTTTCTCAAAGACCTTAGTTTTTTTCTTTGTTAAGAACATTGTTTATTAACTTTTGTTCTTTCAGGTCATTTTTCAACTTATCAAAGTCTTTCAGTTGATTCATGCATTTATGTAACTGATTAGTTAGACTTTTGATTTCAAGGCCATCTTTCTTTTTAACAGATCTAGCATTGTAAAGATCAACAATCATAAGCTTGAACCTTTTCAAGTAAATAGCTCCAATTTATCCCTCTCAACTTGGATGCCATGAGGCGGACCTTGGAAAGTTTTAACTACACTTCTTACTTGGTGTAGCTTGTTACATGGGTCGTGAGTGGGAACTTTTAGAATTGGACTCATTTTCTCATTGAGGGAAGGGTGGAATTGTTTAATCTTAAAGGGGATCTTCTATTTTTTCGCACTTCATCTTTGGACCAAAAACAAGCAAGGGGTGGAAATTGATTAGACTTCCCACAATTGTAAGTAGCTTCATAGGGTCTTTCAGTCCAGGTGTAGGTAGTCTGCATGTTCACGGACATGTCTATTTCACCAAGCCTCTCCAAAGCTATATGATAGCACCCAATTTTTCCGATTTGGTGGTTCGATGAATCGTAGCAATGGAATAATTAAGTCATAGTTCATTGGCTAGGTTCAATACCTACCATATGCACGCCAATGGGACCCTCTAATAAGTCTATTGGAATTAAATTTGAACATGTCATCGTTGTACATAAAATATACTCTTTTTGCCATTTTAATTAAATATATCTTAATAAAATAATTTGATATTTTGATATTCAACTAACTAGAGAATAATTTTAAAAACCATGATACAATAATTGTAAAAACTGTTTTATATTAAATTTGAAAACCGTAATACAAAATTAATGACATAAAATAAACATTAATGTTTCAAACATATTAATACACAATTATCTAATCATTGTACGAGTCAGTCTCTGTGTCCTCATCCCCTTCCTCATCTTATGGCTGTTGTGGTGGTTGTCCCACCATAACTGATGCA